TGCAAATGGGGTGAAAAAAGGAAAATTGAGAGAAAAGATAGTTTGAGTAAAGTCGAGGTTTCAAATTGGAAAAATTTCATGGCATTCCACCTGGACTCTCGATTACGTTAACCCGGGATTACTTTGACCTGTTGTTCAATTCCGATGGTCAGCCTCACCACTACATTTTTTTCCTCCAGAGGCTGAGAAATCTGTATGACATGATAATGGTAAGAAACCTGAGTCATCTTGGCTTAACATAATCACTTGAATCAATCTTAAAAGATAAACTTCCTGGCTTTTTGCTAAGAAGAAATTGAAACGTTGAATTAAAAATCTTTCAATAATTAATCGGATAATTTTTAAATATGGGCAGGCTTTCAAACAATATATATATGTTGCCTCGTCGTATTTTATTTGCAGTTATCTTTCAATTTATACTTTATGAACTAATTTTTTGTAAGTTTTAGTCTACCTCAGCAAATGTCATAGTTAACTAATATCAAGATGTGTACATTTTTATTTACTCAAAATGCTCAATGCAATTTGTTCTTTAGTAAGGTACCTAGATTCCGAGAGAAAGAGCGAGATCAGAAACTTGCGTAGAACAAACGCAAATTAGCCAATTGTCCTTAAATCACACCGACTCAGCATGTGAATTAACATGCCTGTTTGTTCATTCTAGACCAATGCAAAGCCCCCCCCCTCAAATCTCAAAGTTTAAAATTTGCAAAGTACACACTACCTTAAATAATTCCTCAAAGGAGATTCCCGATAATTCACACACATTTCAAATTTTAAAACTATTCGCTAATCCCATTTTATTGACGATATTTATGCATTTTTACACTTTACTATTTGAGTCGTTTCAAGTTGTTCTGTATGTTTGACCATTCCTATGAAACTTTTCGTTGCAATGTTGATTGTGCAGAGCACATGAAGAACTAATTGTGCAGTCCGCTTTTTCAAGTTTTCTTCCACTAAAGTACTTGTCATTGGTGACTTTTGAGTTCAGCACTTTCAATTTAGATTGCAACCTCAAAGGTGAAAATTTTGAAACGCAACTTTAGGGCTCATTAAAATAATCAGTAAAGTGGGAATTGAACTTTTGTAGCTGTCTGTTTCTCTGGGAGAGTAGGGAACTCAGCCTATTTCACCGGAATTGGCTAATCCAATATCCTTGATAGCTATCCCATCAAATCGTCTGGGAAATAAATCTAATTTACAAATTGTCACTTTCGTATCCGCCTGGTTATCAAAAAATAACAAGCGGAATGGGCCAGTTCATGAATTTAGGAACCGTTCGATTAAAAGTCAATCGTGACATTTCAAAAAAGAAATTCTGAGGAAACGTGATCAATAGGAGAGATATCTAAAGGTTTTGGAGTAAATTCTGGATAACTGGAATTAGTTTCATTTTTACTACCTTCATAGCTTTGTTTCTGATCGAAGTCAGAATAAGTCTTTCTACTTATTACATTTATTAAATGGTATTTCGGGAACAATTAGTTTTCCGCTTCACCTATGATCATTCATTCTAAAAAGTAGCTGTCAATTTTATTAACTTAGCTCTACATAACCATCAAGTCGTTAGGCGACACTGAATTTATAATTCAATTATCTCTAGGAGGTCAAATTTCCATGTAGTTCTCATTCACCAGAGACAAAAAGAGTGAAAATGCTTTTTAAGAAAATTTAAAATCGTGAGAAATGAGAGACTGTAAATGCCTTTTACTTGTTTAAATGAGCCACTCTAAGAGATATCATTTTCCACATTTTCTCATCAAGCAGAGCGGCAACTACTTCCGGTGACATTTGCACGGATAACCTCATGTTGGGAAATAATTCCCATTCTTTAGCCCTGTCTGAGGGACTGTGGGCCAGAGCGTCAACCAATCAAATTGGCCCACTTTAATAACATAATTTGGAGGTGGTTACTGATTTCGGATTGCAGTTACTTTAAATAAACTCTTACGGATGTGTGCATGTGGGCCAGAATGTGACTTTGACGACTATGCATAAACAGTGTACTATTTTGATGACGCTTTTTCAGCGCAAAAAAGGGAAGCTTTGCCTCTTAGGCATATAAGGGTACTCGTTAAGTAATTCCACCTGACGATCAATAATTATGGGAAAGATAAAGGAGTGAAATAAATTCTTTACCCAAAAATTTTCGATTATTTAAAGTCTGTAATAAGGCACTCTCAGGAATTAATCTATTTTTTCTGAATAGTTTAGACTTCACTCCGCACCACTCACCAGAACTTTTCTTCATTACTTTGCAGTTGATTGCGCAGAAAAATCTGTACGGTATTTAATCTTAAAGGAGCAACCGAAATCAGACAAAGATAAAGTACCATAAAGATGCTTAGAATACAGTCAGAGTATCAGGAGCCTTAGTATATTTATTTTTGGCTTAGATTTGCAAAATATTCCAAAATTTAAATTCCATATGTCTTTCCTTGAATTGACGAACATACTCCAAGGTATAAAGTGCTTATGGATCTGTTGGTAAATGATCGACCTTTTCACTTCTTAAGTTAAATTTTATTTTTCAAAGCAAAAGAATGCGGTATGACCTTGTTTGAATCTAACAGCAGATTTCAATAGAATTCAACCAAGGTTAAGCCTATTTCAACTACGTTGATTTCTAATGTTACTCAGATACAAGTGCCTGATTGAGTCTTTTCTTATTTATGTCAATGAATCAATCGGCTTCGATTAAAAAAATAGTTCAATACCCCGCAATTCCCACTAATATTATCCTCTGTATAGCCTAAGTTTTGTTAATTCTGAAATTAGTCTTAATTACCTAAGTCAATCAATAGCACTTGAAGATATTTTACTGGCTTACAAGGCAGCATCTACTCCCCCTCTGAGAAGCCTGTGCTACAAAATCTGCACAGTTAGAAGCACGAACGACCAAGGCTAAGAAAGCAACGATTACAACGATTTTGTGTGTGAACTTCACTGCATCTACATCTTATAACAGGTGAGACTAAAGCAAAAAAATACGATTTCTAATTCAATTAGATATTAAGGAGGCATTGCAGAAGCCCATATCTGGAAAGCTCTTTTTTAATTCATAAAGGAAATGATGACGCATCGGTATGCGATATATTATCAAAGCACGTGTGAACAAAAGTGATTTTCAAGCTGCGATCAAACCATAAAAAGAATTGTTCCGCATTTTTCCAGTTACTACTATTTCTGTCTGAACAAATTAGTACTCATAAGTAAACTGTACCACCTTAGTGGACATTTTTAATACATAATTTGGGACATTTGGCGAATTGTTAAGCACCTTTCTTTCGATAGTTGCAATTAAATCAAAGCTTTGCACTTAAATAAAAAGGGCATTCAAGAAAACATTCATAAGAGGTGCGATCAATTATTCAGCTATTTACTAAACAAAAGCGAGTAACCATTGCGAAGATATATAAACGGGAAAATAAAAATCAATAAAATGGTAAATTTAAACACCATTTCATTGGGTAAGAATTCAATCCCAATCTTGGTAATTTCCAGACATCAGATAAAAATTTTGATGTCGTAAAATTATAATAGACCTCAAATCTGGCACAAATTCTCATTTTAAATCCAATTATTTGATATTAGTAAATCAATATAAATAACAATATCAATCTACATTTACAAGTCATTGCAAAATCACTAAATCAAAAGCTCAATTAGCATAAATAATATAACATGATTAATTCGAAATTTTATAGAGAAATCGAACACGTGTTCATCTCTTATGACCATTAAAAAGACACGAAGAAAGTCCTAATGACGATCAGTCCCCAAGTGAGTGAAAATCTTTGGTATTGCACTTAGTTTTCGACATAAATAAGTCCCATAGCTACAATAAACAGTGCTATTATCGGGAACCACTACCAGCAACTATTGTACTAGGGGAAGTATTGTAGAACAAAAGATAACTTCACTACAATAGAGAAGATTAAAAGGAATGCAGACATCACATAGGAGTTAAAATAGGATCAATCAATAAATTCATTACGTCCAATGAAGACAAATGGAGTGGAGGGGTCAAGGTATGGGAAATAGCTCATTTCACTGAACACAACTTATGAAAGAGTAACTTGACTAAAACAGTTTAGGCCAAATTACAGGGAAAAATAGAAAATTCGATTCTCGTTTAGTGCATGTGTGCAATTTGGACACAATCTGGTCATTAGAAGTGCTACTTTGATTAAGTGAACAAAAGCTTAAAAGCTTTTAAGAAAGTTAGCAACTGTAGTATTAATTAGGGATTAATTGGATTTAAGAAAGTACATTAACGCAACAAATAGAAGCAAATTTAGTTTATGCCAGAAACTGCCTAAGTAAACAGAATTCGAAGAATAATTGCACATACCGAATAGCGGGTTACGCTGGGCATAATCAATCAACCGATAGTACAATTAAAACAAACAAGAGAAGCTACGCTTCACTGGGTGAAACAATAATCGATAAACCAGTTTGAAACTAACAAAAGTGAGGAATTTTCTCAAAATGTCGGATATTTTGGACAGGCGTTAAGTTCTTATGACCGTTAGAAAGGCATTGAAAAGATGAAAATATCCCAAAAAACATCTTAATAATGCCCTGGCAATAAAAATATCATATAAAGCTTAGAAACGAGCGTTCTAGTGCCTAATAATTAGGATATCATAAAAATAGTTGACAACCGTTATTGTAGCCTGCAGTTCTCTTAGTGCAAATAAAAGAGCGATTAATTTAAACTAAAATAAATGCAAAAAATCTGTCCCAAACAAAACTTTATGTAGGCTGGTTGGAAAAATTAATTAAATCTAATGAAATAAAAGAGAAAAAATTGAATGCTTACGTAGTGCTGGTTTTAAAGTTAGAGATAGAGACAGGAAGGCAAAAAGATAGCAGAGAGCGTTTTCAAAACAAATATTTCTAAGATGATGATATGTATAGATGAAGAGGAGACAAGTTTCAGCATCAAAAGAAGGAGTACAGTTTAAAAAAAAATAAGAGAAGACGTAATTAGTTCATGCACCAGCTATGGCCACCCGCTGGCCATTTACCGTCTTCGATTTTATGACTCCATCTTCTTCTACAGTAACCGTTTCTACCCCGTCTTGTATAACTCGCCTAGTTGTTACACATTTTCCATCAAGGAATTTCGTGGAAGTCGATCGAAAAGTTCCCTTACTGGGGGTATTTCCAACGCCGCTACCAAACGTAAAAGTTGACGACCGAGAATGGACAGCAACATTTTGAGAGGAAGGAGAGAAATAGAAGCTCTGTGAACGAACCTTGTCATTAGGGCTAACGATACTACCAGCATTAGACATAAAGGAAGTAAAAATACGCTTATGATCGTCAGGAATGCGGTCCTTTCTGTCAACAAAGCGGGTATTCGACCGCCTAACAGGATGGGAGTAACGTGGGGCGGATGGTTCCACCATAGGTCGCGTTGTTTCAGATCGACGAATATTGATAGAAGGTTCCATAAAAGAGCGAATGAAGTTGAGTTGCTCGTCGAAGAATTCGCGGAAGATTTCCTCGGGATCGCGAAAAACAAAATTGAAAAAGTCGTCATCAAAGACAGTGGAATATGTATTGCGGCGACCGAAGGAGGTGCGCTGACTAGTGCGCGGAGATGGACGTGAACCTGCTGAACCAGTGCTATTTTGATAAGCACCCTTCAAACCAGCAAAACCAAATTGGTCGTAGATTTTACGCTTCTCCTTGTCAGATAGAATCTCATAGGCTGCGCTAATTTCCTTGAACTTTCGCTCAGCCTCCACTTTATCTGCCTCAGAATTTTTGTCTGGGTGCCATTTTAGAGCGAGACGGCGATATGCTTTCTTGATATCGGCTTCAGAGGCTCCAGGTTCAATTCCAAGGACTTTGTACAAGCAGGGGTTACTAATTCCGTTGGCGGTAGGCATTTCTGCACTACCACTAAAACATATAATGTAAAAATGTACATAAACTAAAGAATAATTAAAAGAATGGAATATAAGAGTTCATCCACAGTGTCTATTTAAATTAAAATATTTTAAGTGTTTTTAATGTGTAAAATTATAAACCGACTATAAAAGAAGCAAAACATAAATTGGATTATTAACATTTTAGTGAAACCTCATTGGCAGGTACCGTACCACAAAGATCACCAGAGAATAAACGAAAAGTGATGACCCAATATCGACGAAACGTTTTGAGCTAATTGGCCTTATATCTCAAAAACCAATGCCTCGTCTCCAAGACATTCCTACCCAATCAGAAGAACAAACTGTAACCTTGAAAGATGTCCTTCATTTTCTGGTACATCTTAATTGCTACGACTTATCAATGTTAACCAAAAACTTATTGATAATAAAATAGTCCCAATTTTAAGCTAACTTATTTAGTTTTTTATTTAGGAACAAGTTGTTTGATTGTAAATAATTAAATTTAATTGTGTACATAAAAATATATCCTATTTAATTTTCCTTGCTTCTTACAAAATTCCATCAGACATTTTTTGATTAACTGATGTGTGATATCTGTTAATTTTGGTGTTTGGAGAGAGGATATATTTAAGTGGTTATAATATTCGCATAACTTACACTTCATACTCATACAAAAATCATAACGCTCGACAACACATTTCTGTGTACTTGAAACGCATTGATTTTGTACCTTTAAACTTGTGGCTTTCCACACATGCAGTTGTTTTAAGTTATATTGTTTTCGTCTCTGACGGAATTCCTATACCACTTAAAAATATTTGGCTGCACAACTTATGCTGTTTGCAATATTTATGTTGTTCCATATATTATATATTCAGTATTATTAGAAGACAAAAATATTTGAACACCTTATATTAGTTTTGCGCCTTCATTTCAGACGAAAACGTTGGTTTTGCCTTTTACAAATCTTAATGAATCGAGTAAAGTTTGGAATGCACTCTATAGTCACCATAAATACGAATTCAATTAACTTTCAGTCGAATTCAAAATACATTCAACTCACCCCCCCCCCCCCCACATTATTAACATCTTGAAGGATATATTTGTCATATCTGATTTATACCACTTAAGAACCAATCTCTACTCCACTCCTAATGCATTTAATGAGTATATGCACCATTATTAAAATTAAACCTAACTAACTCACCTTAAATTTAAAAATCGAAGAGCACTCCCTAGTGATATACATATATCCATTTTAATTTGATTTCGCATCACATTCAAAAACAGAACACAATAATGTGTATAATGATTTTTATAAGAAGTAAAAAATGAGAATGAAAAAGATAATGATATACAATAAGGCAGGATTCAACTTGTCAGCATAAAGATAAGGACAGGAATGGTAACACAACAGTAAGCAGAATTGAAGAATAACTTCGGTGCAAATACAGACCAAATAAAGAGGTGTGAGTGCATGAGAAGACACATCATGGCTGACACCGTAGTACTAATAGTTATAAAGCCCGATGTGAAACTTATAAGACGATTGCGCACATGAAGTCTTCTCGCCTCAATTTCATTGCCATAATTTACGAGAAAACGGAAGTAGAGAGAGAGAAACCAAAACAGAGGTCCCGCATAAGTGTATATCAAAACTAGAAGGGTAGAAAGAATGTGGGAATGTTCCGACAATCCAACGTAACCTGATGCCATATCAACTGACGAGAACTTGTTGGCGTTACCCTAAAAAGGGAAAAATAGATTGCAATTCGTAACTTAATGGACAACTAACAGCTGCAGTGTAAATAGTCAAACTTTCAGACGTAAGCATATCATCGCTTTAGCGTGTACATGGAGACTCGTAATCTCTGCCCCCCCCCCTCAAAATAAGTTTGAATTTCATTATTGTAAATAAAAACATTTTCACCGATTTTATTAAGATAAAAATCGATGTTAAAATACTCATATATTAACGTCCAATGACCTACTAAAAAGGTAAATTAGCTACCTTTAAAGATAATGCTTAGCTTGTGGAAGGTTGTGACTAGGAAGGTTAGATAAGTTTCATTATCCAGTAACTTTATGCTCATTGACTATTTTAATATTAAAAACACATTTTTATAGCATGGGGTGAATATGATAAATATCAACTTATGGCTCTAGGATCCTAAGTCCGAAGTTGCAGTACGGTCGATTGTTTAAACTAGACAGATTTCGAGTGTAACCTTCCTCCTACCCTTACATGAATTTCAGTAGCAATGTAGAGTGCGGGTTTACAAAAATAGCATCCTTTAAAAGCTTACATTTTCATCCAATCATCCTACCTGAATAGAACAGTCACCAAGGGGCAAAGATGCACCAACCAAAACAAGAAAAATCGATTTCAAGAACGAAACCGTCACGTTAAACTTATTTCATCTTTAAAAAACCCAACATTGAAGCCCATGCATCCCCATGTCCAATTCGTACTTTGAGTATTACCTGTCAATAAAATTTACTACATGGCATATAATCATACATGGAGATGTGCCTTTGAGATACAGAATATGGGCCGGCCCTATATAAGGTAGAGATGAGCCCAAGAACGACAATAGTTAATAGGGTCTGGAAGTAGAAATAAATCCCAAGAGCATAGTAGACAAAATACAATAATTTCACTTCCTGACACCTTATACCTTAAAAGCCATTCCTCTTCTCAAACGATACATACCCTTTTTACCAGCTTCGAAAAGATCCATTATAGCTTAATAGAAACACAAGAGGACGACTTTCTTATCCTAGAAAAAAAATCAAATGTAGAGCATGTTTAGAACTTGCCTGTTGAAAGAACGTGACCCATCCCTCCATCCAATACAACACTGCGATGAAGTAAGTCAGCTTAGACCGAGCAACCGACCTCGAGGCTCCCAGAACTCCAAATTCTGTGTGGAATATTCGAGCTAATAGGACCTCTTTAACCATCACACCGGCCCATAGTACAACAGATGTAGAACGGCCCAGGAGACAAGCCAATAAGGCGAGACTGTGGACGGGACTGGGCAGAGTCCACAAGGTGACGTCGAACCCGATGAGGATGTAAGGATCACAAGAGTTTTTGAACCAGGCGAAACGGCGCTTGCAGTACCAGAGACAGGCTGTAAGATCTATTGCTAGAGCGACATAAGCTAAACGGGAGGGAAGTAAAGTCGAACTCCACCTAAAAATGACGGTTGAACCACAGATCAATGTACGATCACGACAATAGGCTCTGGCATATGAATAAAAACATATTTAAATCGAAAAATTTTCTGATAACGATATGACAGCTTTTACCAATTAAGGTCTTCAATATTATAATTATATTATATTGCCAAGGATCTTCTCCCCACCATTTCTCTTACTCGTTTAATTCTTTACAGTGGTTTATTCAATACATTTGGCACACACAATTCTTTACATTCAACTTTTTGAGGCTTTTACTTGCTGTTATTGTCATCTAGCTCAGGTTTCAACTTCTGATTCACTAGTTCCTAAAACCTAGTAACTTAAAAAACTGATATCATTAGTTCTGTTACCAATTAAGCCAAAGGGAGAAGCTCAAATTAGACCCTCACTCTTTGATAACTGAACTAACACGTTAACTAACTTGGTACATGCTTTTGACGTCACTACTTATATTCATTGGGTGGAAAGACAGGATACTTCCATAGTTTTTCTTTTAATTTATGCTGGAAAGTAGAGGGTGGAGTATTTTGTTAAGCACTTCATCGAATCGTAAGCATTTTATACTCAAACTCCGACTTGGCGTAAGTTTGGCTCATTTTCACATTGCCTATTTGTCTCGCTACTTTTTCCATTACATGCGTGTAATAAAGAAACGCGATTACGCCTGCAAAATGTAGAAATAAAAACACGCAGTTCCCCCAATTTGAATGATAAAGCAAAAGCTCACCCAACTCCCCATTCAAACTAATCTTTGAACTAGATTATCTATTCCATGTCAAAAAAACAAACAAAAAACGACTTGGGGAGTGCTCAAAGGAGCCCGAATTTCTTGAAATTGGATAAAGTTAAGTTGCAAGATCCTTACTATTTTCTTCTTTCCCTAGCAATAGAGGTATATATTTTATTGATGAAATGAGTGCTCTAATTAAACTTCTTTGGGTGGATTCGGGCCATTATGGATTTGCGACAATGCGCATACGTGCAGATTAGAAGAACAGATCGATAAAATGTGTTTGAATTCCAACTTTTTGGGCTAAGACTGAAAACTCATGACGATAATCAATAGAATACTGATTTAACTAGAAAAAGTAAGGAACTTCGTGAAAAACTTTCAATCAAAATAGAAATTTAAAAGCTGGAAGAATGTAAGCACCTGATAATGCCAATAGATTGACTTGCTTAGGAACGTATCAAAGGCGCATTATGATATTGGGAAACAACCTGTTTAAGATGAAATAGGATTATTGATAATCGGATCAGTGTATGTTCAGATGGATCTAAAAACTATCAGAAACCGGTGCGCTAACCTCATATCCTAGATTCCATAGTAGTCTCAAGCAGTACACAAATTTGCAATTGAACGATTGAGTTCAAAGAGAATTTCGAACTTAACGTCGTGGTAATCGTGCTCGCTTTAAGTGGCAACTTGTTCAAAGTTTTCTGACTTGATAAACTTACGCAAAAAACATTTATATATACTTGTGGGAAGTAATAAATATAATTCCCAAATCCATTTGTGGCAGCGCTTTCATGCAATAATCTTGAGTTTCGTGCAACGTCATAGAGTCTATCTGCGGAGAAACTCAAATATTAGTACCCTCAGTGGTATTAACCACTTTGATTGGTTTGTGTTCAAGCCAATGACCTTTGATATCAACCCACATATTAGGTATAGAATAAGTTAACCCTAACTATTTGTTGATAGGACAATACAAAGAATAACCTAGCTCCTCCATGACGTACGGTATTCATAATTTGCAGCTGAATTATCGAACTTAAATAGAGCATAGAATATGCAGAAAGCGCTTATGGAACTGGTTATTATCACCAATCGGGTTAAAGATAATTCTCTGATGAATGCTCTGTGTCTATTTAATACTTCCAATATACATTCATCCCATTTCAAAGTTCCGCATCGCCTCGTTTCATTTTCGTCAATAAGAAGACAGGTTGTCGAAGACCTTATCTCGGTCTCCAATCATTAGTTTCATTCAATCTTTGAAAATCTCAGATGTGAAAGGATCTGTAAAGAGGCTGCTGGTGATTACGGTCATCGGTCATGCTAACTATTGTTGATACTGCCAGGGGCATAGTTTAAGTAAATAACAACCATTGGAATAAAAGCCAATAGTCTACTTAGAATAAGATCTAGCGTAATGTGTAGAATAAAATACCGTAATACTGTTATATGAGTGTGCCAACATTTAGTGAAATAGGATATAAAAAAAGTAGGATATACAAAGCAAGCTACTTCAGGGATTATCTTCGCCAGCAAGTTTGCTTGCCTCGTCCAAAGATTAGCATTTTATCTACGACTACGTTACTTCTATCAAGACAGTGCGAAATTAAATAAGTTACAGTTCATATACTAACATAGATGAGGAGTGAATCCTGTTAGGCTCACTGGAATGTATGGCCACGCGGTAGATGAGTTGGGTGAAAACTACCAGAGAGAGTGTTATGATCGTTCGAAAATGCGATCCAAAGAAAGCGCTATGTGAGGGGACCAAGAGAGCCCGTACGAAAACGATTGCTAGCCAGGCGGTTGAAATGGCAATCCACATCGCAACCGGAAAGGCCTCTCTAAAAAAACACAAAAAAACGTCTCAGCTGAAATTCATAGATTTGATTAAAGCTGTCTACTTCTTTCAAAAACAGAGATAGGTGAAGTTGCTTACCTGATTATGAAACTTCTATCGAGCTTTGGATGGTATTAAGAAAGTAAAAATTCCAGAGGTTTTTTTCACTAAGCCATTGGCTAGCATTAACAATTATCATGGACCCGAGATTATGGAAACGAAACAAGGGTAAAATATGAATGAGTAAGGAATTCAATAAAGAGGGGTTATGTTGGTGTGTGGTTGAGAACACAGACAAATCGCAGCGAATTTACTATCATTCAATATCTTGAGCACCAGTCCTGAGCATTGCCTGAGCCCGCTAACTATGCCACTTTTATTAATGTCCACCAGCACCATGCTACCCATTGGTAAAGGTGGAAAAGACCTTTCTTAATCTCATTCGCAATCCTTAATAGTTCAAGGTTAAGTGAAACTAGCTCGTCAAAATGTAAGCGAATAATATGTCAGGCAAACCAGCAAAAAGCGGCAGATAAAAGGGCAATAAAATTAAAGATCCCAAGCACCATATTTACAGACACCAGTTTAGTGCCACATGTAGGCTATATGAATCGAAACTAGTAGAATCCTCTTTTAAAGTGAAAATTTTCAAGGTAAGATCTTTCGACACCCGAAATAAAAAAAGTGTTATTCACATTATCATGGGAACTCCTCTCATGCAGTTTGCACATCTCATGAACTTCTCTCAGAAACGCCAGCTAGTGACTCACCAGCACAGTAATCAACATTGGCATAACTTGATAGCTTCAAAGAAGATATGAGAAATACCCACAGAATTATTTGACATTAGATATTTCCAAGGTACTAGTAGCAAGTAATAACAAGGTTTATTAATAAATAAAGTTTGTATTCTTTTGACAATTAAGCACTTAAAGCTCTCTTAAAACAAGAATATATTTGCTAGGAGCTTGCTCAAGGGATCTTCATAGGAAATTCTGCGATCACACTTCGAGCCTTTGAAGTATATGGCGCTAAAACTGCCTTGGACCTGAATAAGTAGTAAGATCTAAGACGAGAATTCAAGCAAAGTAATGACCTATAGGCATAAAACTGGACATAACTCAACACTACTTCCCTCCTGTTAGCCAAATTCACGAGTAAAGTTGACAGAAAACCTGCAATGGTGTCAAAGTATAAGGAGGGAAAATGGGTTACAAAGTTATCATTTTGAATTCTACTCTAAACAAAGGCAAACAAAAACCTTACACGCACTGGAAGGAAATGTTTTCAATAATTAAGGAACCAGACTTAAACTTCTTTAGCTATTATTCTCATTGGGAGTTTTAAGCACGCTAATTAGTACAGAAGCACTTACAATATATACTCAAATCACACTGACTCAAGAAGCTCTGATCATTGTGGCAAGGTGATCAATTCCCGTCACTTTGATATACTCCAATGCGTATTAGCCCTTCAATCTATCATTGATATCCTTATAAGTAGATACGCCCTTGAATTATATGTTAATGTGATACACTTAAATCGTACCTTCTCAAAACTCGTGAACCCGAAGGATCAAACTGAAATTAATGTGATGATGATTTTATGCCCTTGCATAGACTTACCTCCACGTGGTGCACCCTGGGCAGCGTATACTCATACGGCAAAAAGTCGATTAACCGGCAGTTGACTTCTGACCCCAAAGTATGTCATATTCGACTACTTCAACAGTACTCACAACACATTATTTTCTAAATTTTCTACCTTCGTCTTTGAAACACTCTTCTGTTCCCCCCCCCTCTCGACTTTTTTTCACTTTGATGTTCCTTCCCCTCTGTGAAGCCTGAAGTCAACTAAAGGGCTAAAGATAACCAACAAAACGCCTGCAATTTGATATAAATAAATAAATGCCCTTGTAAATAAAATTTGACAGTGGAAGCTCAACTTACAGAAAGTCAGTGAGGTCAGGTTCATTAATCCACTTGTCACCCGTCTGATTCAGCCGTTTGAGGAGGAAACGATCGAGACAAAGTACACACACGAGGCAGAAGACATTACCTATTCCACTACTCGTACTTCCACCTTCTCTAACATTCAGTATAAGAACCAGAGTAAGCGCGACGATGTTCGTTGTTGCAAGGAAATACCACGTTTGATGTTCCTCTTCAATAAGACTGCTTGATACAAGACTGACAAGATGCAGGAATAGGCATATTACTGAAAACCCGGCCAGAAATGTGTATGCCAGAGTTCGCTGTCTATGACTCGGTTTGAGAGTTAAAATCTCCTCCCTATTGAAAATATCAAATAGTCCAGGAACGAGGAAGGAGATAGCAAGTGCCCCCATGAGAAGACAGAGAAAACCGACCAGGTTTGTGCTAGAACTCCGATTGGTATGGAGAAGAGTTCGTCTCTGAAATGCGGTGAGCAGATTTACGACCTGAGAGGTCACTCTCTCTTTGTCAATGGACATTTGAGCGCATGTTGGATGGGGTATCGCTACATCTACTGAGCATAGGCGTACCAAAGTCTCAATATCAGTGTAGAGAGCATTCAGTTTGATGACTAGAGAAAAAAATGATTAAGGTAGACCTAAAGGCCCCATAGAATGACGTACTCTCATTAGTAACTAGATATTCGCTTTCGCAATTTGCATCAGTACACTTTGTAAGCGAACGAAGATGTTCAATTAATTCGAGGAGGACTTTGTATCTATCCAGTGGCTCCGGCCAGAAGGTTTGAATAATTCGAATTGGTGGAACACCAATACTATTTGCTGGAATTCCCACTCCAAAGAGTAGACCGAGCATCGTGGCTATATCTGTCTGATCAGACTGGGTTCTGAAGACCTTGCCTTCGATTTCACAAGCCTATGAAGACGAGTACATGATTATTTAGCACCTCCAAGGTACAAAAGCAGTATAGAATACATGAAATCAGGCGTCAACTGCAAGTTACCCGTTCATATTGATGGTGACGGTATATTACAAAAGGAGTGCCGAGTTTTATGAAAACTTTGAAATTATGGAGCCAAGTGTTTGGGTACATAATTAGTGAAGGCCGACACAGATTGAAGCAAAAACGACCATGTAAAATTCAAGTCCGCAGGCTCTGTGGTGTCACGACATGAGATTAGAGCTTTTTGCTTCTTCTAGGATGTCCCCTTCAGTATTAATATCTGGAATAGTTCAACATCCAGGCAACCAATGTCTCTAAATTTCCAGTCCCATTCAATCCCAAGGTGTAGAGTAAAAAGTGTCTGAATACGTCTACCAAAGTAAGGTACAGAATGGGGCCGGGTTTTGGGGAACCGTTCCCCATAGTTTTAGCTTTTATACGATGAGGAGCTTTCAGTTATGAATTTGAGACAGGGCATCATTTCTATAAAATTCAATGCATCACTAATCAAAAGGAGTCCTAGATGCTTCACGAAACAGAAGGCAAACTCATTTAACAGGCGTGTCCCTCTGCTTCAATCATTCCATAATGTAAATGGAAAGTGTGATATCAACGTGGTCCGTATTCGCGCAAGAATAAAATCACTTGAAAACAGTCTACCATGAGTCAGATTGACTTCATCTATAGTCGAATACAACTAAGCATTTGTCTAAACAGAAGAAATTATTGCAATGTACTGCGATATAATAAAGTTATTGATTTTCCCCAAGAGATCTTCTGAAGTTTCTCCATAAAGGTCCCACTTACAGGGAGATACTTTCTAACAACTACGCATATTTTATGGATTTCTGAGTCCTCACTAACAAACTTTCGCACACTAAGCACTATTTAACCATTCGTAAAGTCAGCATCCCTCCTTTTACCAACTTGTGCTTCAACTTTTTTAGGAAGGGTATTAATTAACATATTTGTAACCGCATCAACATACTCAATTCATGATGTGCCTTATCCACTACTCAGACTTACGTATGCAGTTAATAAGATTTAATGCTTACTGAATCTCCTTGGCTCTTGAATTTAGGACTGATAAGAAGCATGGTTGTTGTTAATTCTGCATAGGAGCTACCTCCATGACTGCCCTGATCACTCATTCCGTGGTCACCGGTGAGAATAACCATCCAATTCTCGGATTTCGATTCCTGTTAATCCGTAAGAATATTTACAATTAAATCAATTTTATTGACCCACAAAAATAATAATAGACATAAACAAACAGATTCATATATTTTTATTTTAAATAATATTTTTAAATTTGTCAATCTTTCAATTCAGCTACAGCAGAACTTAGCTAACTAACCTAACTAAGAGACCTTAGCGCAAGAGAAAAAACATTAAAACTCAAAAGCTGTAGGAATCGTAAATTTCTTTTTTGACCTAAAAGTTGCATTGCCAAATAATCACAGCCTTACAGGTATGAAACACTGTTTCGTGTTAGATCATGTATTTAGGGGGGGGGGG